TGCGCTATCTCAGATTAGGTAGGTGTGAGCTATCTCAGATTAGGCAGCTGTGAGCTATCTCAGATTAGCAGGTGTGAGCTATCTCAGATTAGGCAGGTGTGAGCTATCTCAGATTATGCAGGAGGTGACCAATGTCCTTAAGACCTCAAGCTGATGGGAGTTTTTTTTGTTTTTTTTGTTTTTGTTCTTTTTTTTTTTTTTTTACAGGTGTTGGGTGGAGAATAGTTTGATTAAGCCAGGCTTTCTGAGCCCACTATAAAGGAAAATACATTATACTAATTTTGAGTTTTCCTCACATGAACTCATGGGCTGGGGACGTAATTCAGTGGCACGGCACTTGCCTAGCACGAGCAGACACTGCTGTACCATCCCCAGCACCGTGAACAAAATCACCTAAACACACAATTTATATTGACTTTAATGATCTGATAGAGGATCTGTGGTATTTTTTTTACTTTCTGTGCAATATATTTTCTATGCTTGTTTTATTTTCAATAGTATTTACTCAACTGAAAATATTTATTTCCTCTAATTAAAATTGTAGAGATTCTCAACAGGAGAGAAAGAAAAAGAACATACTGAAAAAATGACAGTCAAGGTGTAAATTTCCAGAACCTGAGGAGATTATATATTCAGCCCAAATTACCGGAATGGCTGGCTGTTTGCTGAAGTATTATAAGATTAACTACAACAAATTTGTACAACCCGAAGTATTCATTTCTAATCATTGCTCAGTGTTGCTTAATTTTAGAATAATAAATATTCCGTTCCACTGGGTTCACACATATCATTTGGGTGGCAGATGTTCTCTTCACTCTGTTTAGGGAAGCCACCTCCTGTAACACTAACTCCGTAATTCTCCCTTCTGTGTTCAGGATGAGCTGCTGGCGGAACTTGAGGAACTGGAGCAGGAAGAATTAAATAAGAAGATGACAAAGATGCAGCTTCCGAATGTGCCGGCCTCTTCCCTCCCCTCACAGCCCAGCAGGAAGCCCAGCATGCCCTCCAGTGCACACCGATCTCGAGCAGGTGTGTGCACACCCCACAACCCGCGCCCACATAGGTTCTCAGAGCAGTAGGCAGGCTGCTGCGGTCAGTGATTTGTTTACGTAAGCACGCCGACGACTGATTTGTATACGTAAGCACGCCGACGACAGATTTGTGTACGTAAGCACGCCGACGACGACAGATTTGTATATGTAAGCACGCTGACGACAGATTTGTATACGTAAGCACGCTGACGACTGATCTCCTCACTTTTGTGTTCCAGCGCCATCCAGGAGGACCGAGGACGATGACTTTCAGCAGCTGGCAGCTTGGGCTACTTAAGCTAAAATGGGAACCTCTGACGCCTAAATTATTGAACTACACATAAGACGTAAATGCTTTTGCAAAGCCTAGAAGATAGCAGTGACCTGTTTTATGAATTGCTGTCTTTTACAAAGCAGTTAAGTCATGTGAAGACACGACCGGGCATGGAAAGGGGCTGGTAGCATCATAGAAGACCCTTCCAGGCTGATGGAGTGGGGGACTGTCTGCTTTATCCTCTACTGTACTTTAGTTCTGGTACAAGTTGATTCTTTGTGTATATGTATTGAAAGAAAACTGATTCTACTGACATTTAATACATATTCCAGCTTATAAGCCCTCCTGAAGCAATACCTAAGGTAACTGGGGGTGATGTCTGTGCAAATACAAGGCTGTGTGCATCCAGGTCGCCCACAGTAAATGTAAATACGCTTCTAGAACAGACTTGAAGACAAGTCCTTAGTGAGTCTAGATATACAGTTTCAATTGAGTTTCAGGGTTGAAAATCTTCACGGAGCTTTAATTGACATTTATTATGCTGGTTGAGCCTTGAGAGGGGGAAGTGCATGCATCGCCCCAAATGTCTGACCACACAAGCAGTTTAGCCTGCTCAGCAGGGCTCTCCGGGGTGTGAGTCAGACACTTAGGTAGCCAAGTGAGCACAGGCCTCGTGCTGCTGCTGCTTAGGCTCCACAGGCACGCCCATTGCTTCCTGTTGTGTGCTCTCCTGTGCACTAACAAAGCGGAAACAATGCTTCACAGCATGCGCCTCGTAAAAATACTAAAATACTGGCAATTAAAAATATATCCGGAGTAAAATTTTGTGCCTAATTACGGTTAAATTACGGATAAATTATAAACTTAGGTATCTCGCGTGCCATATCAGACGGTAAAAATGACAAGCAACACAATGCGAGGTTTTCTGATGCCCTCTGCACTCCTTTGAGCAACGCTGGGGCCTGGAGGAGGAACACCACGGCATCTCTGAGCCCTCGTCCCGGCTCAGTGCTCCCATTCTGCCGCAGGTGTTTGGCACTTGTTCTTTCTCTTGGCATTTTTCCTGCCCTGCACAACACACACACCAAATCCTCCTCATTCTTTAAATTCTGGCTAAAATATTCCATCTTGGGAAACTTTAAAAAATTTTTTTTTCCAGACTATATGCTTTTATAGCACTCGGCTTTCTGTTATAGCGTTTTACATGTTCTCTCTCAACATTTAACCTGAGTGCATTCCCCTGTTGGCCTGTGGTAGGGTGCGGAACGAGACTGCTTTAAATAGTGTGTTCTCAGGACTCTTCAAAATCTCTCATGTACCCTAGGCAAGTCTTTCAGCATTCACTCAATGCTCAGCAACTGACAGAGGACGGATTTGCCTTCTGTCCCTAAGCAGTCCTGAAATCGGGCCACGCCTGTGGAGCAGCAACAGTGTTAGACACCGAAGGAGAGCCAGCTCTGGAGAGCCGGCTCTGGAGAGCCAGCTCTGGACAGCGATGCCCAAGACAAGGGAGGCTGATGCAGTGTGCTCATCCCGTGTCCTGGCTCGCATACCACCCACATGGCTGCTGAGCGCAGCTAGCTGCAGGGAAGGGAAGGCACAAAGCCCCCACCACACTTGGGAAACTTGTAAAGCGAGTGAATTTTAGTTATGCTTAACTTTAGTTAATTTAATTAAAAAACATTTCTCAATGCATTTATTAGAAACATTGAAGTATTTCAGCACCTTAGTTCTGCCTTTTCAGCAGTTAAATCTGTAAAGTCTGTCTATAGGCCAGTATGGGTGTCTGTCCTGTTTTTCCGCCTCCCTTGCTTCTTTCCATCTCTCTGAGATTCTGAGAGACAGCCTCACCATGTAGCACACAAGTTCACTTTATACCTCAGGCTGACATTGAACTTCACTCCTCTGGCTTTAGCCTCCAAAGCCCTGGAATTACAGGCTCCCATCGCTGTGACCAGCACTGGGCAAAACACTAATGGCAGATATTTACAGCCATTCTGAGAGGCACTCTCAGTGTAAAATACAAAGACTTGGTGAACAAAACTGTAAAATATCTCATTAATAATCGCATATTGATTATATGTAGAAATGTTATTTTAAATGCTTTGCATTGAATAAAATACAGTATTGGAAATTTAGCTTTCCTATGTCTTTTATTTTTTTAAACATGTAGTTCCTGAGAAACTTAAAACTGTAACTATGGTCTCATTACATTTCCATTGTTTAGTTCTGGGCAACACCAGCTCCATTCTGTCACTGAGTATACAGGTAATGTGTGAGTTGAGGCACTAAAACGCTGAAACACACACAAAAAAAGAGGTGATATTACACTGTAAAAACACAAGAATACTTTGAAGTGAATCTTGATGCCACCCATGTTGACAACATGGAGGAAACAGTGAAGTGGAACAAGTGAGCTGTAAAGGCAGGCTGCCCTCATTCAAAGATCTGTTGGGCTTCTGTGGCAATCTTTTCTCATTTTACATACCAATCCCAGTTCCCATTCCCTCACCACTCCCCCCCCCCCCGCGCCCCATCCACTCCTCGGAGAGGACGTGGTTCCCATGAGTCAACAAAGTCTAGCACTGGCTTTGAGGCAGGACCAAGGTCTTCCCTACTATATATATCTGGGCTGAGCAAGAAATCCATCCATAAGGAATGGGCTCTAAAAGCCTGCTCAGGCCCTAGGGATGAATCCTGGTCCCACACAATAAAGCATTCTTAGCATAACAAAACTCTGTATTTACACATTCTGGGATGTTTGCTTAAAAAAAAAAAATATGCCACCCCCTTTATCAGGGATCGCAGTAGAAGACCTCAGGTTTTTGTTGTGTAAGAAACACACTCAAGATAATTTAAAAAAGAAGCCCCAGCTCGTGATGAGAATCAAAGGAGATTCTTAAAATGCAGATGGGAGGAGTGCCCGGAAACAGGGCAGCCATAGCTGACAGACTTCTCATGGCCAACCGAAGGGAACGGCACACTGCCGTCATTCAGGCAGGTGTTCTCCTCAGGAGTCATGGTCCAGGGTCAGGACGTCAGCTACTCAAACTTGGCTCCTTTAAGTACTCCTTGGTCAGCCATCTGGACTCCCAAATGAGAAAGCAAGTTGGGGGCGACAAAGTTCTGGAATCAAGGTGACTTTACCTGCCGCTGCCCACCTAAACTTCAACACGCCCCCTGATGCGTGGTTGTCAAGTCTACAGTTTGGTCCTAACTAATATGTCTCCAGGGGAAAACGGAGTCAGAGAACCGGCATCTTTAGTGGAACTGAAGTAGTGGAGAGCTCAGACTTCACAGCGGCGTCTGTCTTAGTAAACAAATTAGAGCCAGCGAGCCTAGCAAGAGTAAAGCAAACAAAGATGCTAAGACTAATAAGGAGCCATTGCATTCCAGCCCCGGGAAATAAAGTGATCACGTGCGAGTCAATGCTCATCTCCTCGCCTCTGCCTTCCTCCCATCTCCTTAATTTAAGGCAGACATTAATGATTCTGTTGGAGAAAATGCTTCTTAAAGCAGCTGCAATCCTTCCCCAACTTCAGACTCACTTTCTATCGTTTGTTTCTTGGCTCTGTCACACTAACATAGAACACTCGAGCTAGGAAACACGGAGAGCGGGAAGCCGGGACAAAGCTGTGTTACTCAGAAAGCACATGGTCACCTCCACCCACACGGGTATCCTGTGCTGAAGGCTGCTGCTTCTGTGCCAACACGCCGTGGAGGACTGGAGACACAGCTATGGCGCTCGACAAGCTGTGGAGGGCTGGAGACACAGCTATGGCGCTCGACAAGCTGTGGAGGGCTGGAGACACAGCTATGGCGCTCGACACGCCGTGGAGGACTGGGGACACAGCTATGGCGCTCGACACGCCGTGGAGGGCTGGGGACACAGCTATGGCGCTCGACACGCCGTGGAGGACTGGGGACACAGCTATGGCGCTCGAGAGTAAGCGGTCCCTTCATTTGGGCGTCCCGTGGGATGCTGACGTGTGACTATAGAAATACCACCTCACCACCTCACCCTCTGAGTTTTGGTTTTCTTGATTTCTGTTACCCTTGGATAGCTACAACTTGAACATGTTAAAGGAAAAAAAAATCAGAAAGTGGCATTGTAAGTGTGTGCAATTCTCTGTGTGCTGATGAAATCCTACGCTCCCTGTGCATCTGGCCTCGGATGTGACTTGGGTATTGTACTGCGTATCCACACAGTATATGCTACCTCACTAAAGCTAATTAGTGGCCTTGGTTATCAGACTGCCACAATATTACAGTGATTGTGATCAAGTAGTCCTTATTTTACTTAATAATGTACTCAAAGGGTAAGAATAGTGGAACATGTAATTTTACTGTTATATGTTGGAATGATTCAATTTAGTCCTTACTGTGTCTAATATAAGCTGTGTGTGTGTGTGTGTGTGTGTGTGTGTGTGTGTGTGTGTGTGTATTTAAGCACATGTATACATGTATGTACAGGGTTTGGTCTGCCCATGATTTTCAGGTAAGGTCTTGGTCCATATTCCCTGCAGATGTGTGTACATGTAATGTGTATGTGCTAAGCACAGATGACATACATGTGTTTGAAAACCTCCTCCTTGTTCTTAAGACTTACTGTCTGGGTTTCTTTAGTCCTAATTCTTGCCTTCCCTTTTCCTGGCTCACCTTGCAGCCATGCCTTTGTTTCAGAAGGTTGTTACGACCAAGTTGCTATGCTTCTGTTCTGCTTCTGCGAACCCCGATTATTTCCTGCCAAACCCCCATTTGGAAAGCCCCTTCTCCTGAGCCATAAAAACCTTAACTTCACTACAACAATTCTGATTTCATGAATCCCACCTTACGGGGAGATAGTCTGTTCACATGAATAAAGCTTGCTTTAGTTAATATGGCCATGATTTGGGTTGGTGGTCTTGTTCCTCGAATTTGTGGGATTAATGTAGGAGGAAGGACCACGTGGATATGAGAGGGAAACTCTCTGGGTTTTAGGTAAGAAATAGTGGAGCAGATACTACAGCATAGGCACAGAAGCAGAACAATCAAAGCTTAAAAAAATGTGGTTATGCAAGGGCAAGGAATGAAAAGTAAAAACAAAGGACTCTTTCCGGGTCGGGCGGGCGCTGGGTGGGCGCTCTCTTGAGAGGGGTTCCAGAGTCAACGCTAATGGAAGAGCTGTTGTTGATGTCTCCAGTCCAAACCTGTTAGATCTCATTCCTTCTGTGGGCAGTGTCTCAGAGGGGTTCAAACAAGTAACCCTGGTCCTGTTGGACTGAGTTTCTACCCAGAAGTCATTGTGGGTAGGTCAGCCCTCCCTTAGCAATTGTCTAGTCCTCAACTGGAGCGCAGCTCAGGGTAATTTCCATCCACTTTCTACGCCGGATCACCAGCTTCCCCTACGTGAGTGTCAATGTCTAGGTTCTCTGTGTGGCCAACTCCATCCTCGTATTTACCTTTGTGGCAGGGTGCGCTGCTGTTTCCAGAGCCTGAGCTGTCTGCAGACTCCTGTGGGGTGTTCACGTGGTTCTGTGGGTTTCCAGAGCTCTTGGCAGTTGCCTCCTGCAGAACCGCTTTAATCAGAGTTGCAGGGTCTGTTCCCTCTTTGCTCCCAAACATAACTCTTAAAACAAGCGATGTAGACGGGCAGGCGCCTGGTGCTTCCCAGCATCTGCTTCATGAAACGTGGCTCTGCTTTCAAACTTGTGTTTCTGCTGTATTCACTTCCGGAGCCTTCCCTTTCCCAGCTGGTGTTCACATCCAGCCCTGGGAGGGACAATTCTTCCCTTCCCCGTCGCCGTGTTCAGGGCTGTGGGTTAGTTTGTAGCGTTCCTATCTAATTCTGCGTGTTGTCTCCTTCACAGTGCTCTTTATGAAGGCACTCCAGTGCTTTCCCAGACTCACACCCTCCTTCCTGGGCAGCGGTGTTTTCTCTGGATTCCTGGACTCAGGAGCTGCAGTGAAACAAACCTTTAGGCTGAGTCTGTGTGGGAGTTTCTAGGTTAGGTAACCTGCGGTGGGAAACCCACTGTCATTGTGGGCAGTGCTGTTTTGTGGAGGCTGGGACTAAGGATGCCACCTGGGCAGTGTAGTCTTCCTGTCTCCAGAGAGGCAGCATCCAACTGTCTCAGGCTCCTGCCACAAGAACTTCCCCACCAAGACGGCCAGGACCATCAGACTATGAGCCAGAAGCAATTCTTCCTTAACTGTTTTTGTCAGACTTTTTGGCAGTGACAAGTAACTGTAGCGGATGCTGGGATGCTGTGTCCCACCGACCCTGTGCTGGGGGATGCTGTGTCCCTCCTGCCCAGTGCTGCCATCTCCCTTACTTCTCTACAAAGAGTCTGCCCCTGCCTCTTTCTTTCTTTATTTGTTTTTGGTGTTTTCAGACAAGATTTCTTTGGTAGCTCTGGCTCTCCTGGAACTCACTCTGTAGACCAGGCTGGCCTCGAACTCACAGTGATCCACTTGCCTCTGCCTCTTGAGTGCTGGGCTTAAAGGCGTGTGCCAGATGAGAGATTTTTAATTACTTCAATTCCATTACACATAATTGATCAACATAAATTTTCTATTTATTTTAGTTAATATTCGTAGGTTGTAACCATTCAAGAATTTCTCCATTTGTTCTAGATTTTCCAATTTTCTTTAAAAAGACTGTAGTTTTTTAATTTATAGTAGGTCCCTTTGATCTTCTTTACTATTTCTGTAGTGTTGGTTGTAATGTTTCCTTTTCAAGTCTGCTTTTTCTTTCCTTTATGGAAAATAGATTTTTTTTCATACAGTGTATTCCTATTGCTGTTTCCCTCTACTCCTCAGTTCCTCCCACCTCCCCTTTCAACTGGATCCACCCTATTTCTGTCTTCCATTAGAAAACAAACAGACTTCTAAGGGATAATGACAAAATAAACTAAAACATAATACAATAAGAAAGAACAGAATAAACAAATCAGAATAGGACGAAACAAACAGGAAAAGAGCTCAGGAGAAGGCCCGAGGACAGGTACAGACTCAGCCCCCTGTGCTCTAACTAATTTTGGTTCTATTTTGGATAGTGAGATCTAACATAGGACGTCTCCTGTGGGCTAGCGGGAGAAAGCTTATGCTGTCACCAATGCATAGAATGTCCTGTAAATGTCTCTTAAGTCCCTGTGTTCTAAACTCGGGTTTCTTCATTCGGTGATCTTGCCTGGTGATCTGTTCACTGAGGAAACTGGAGTGTGTTCTCCTTTACTATTGCATGGCTGTCTTCTCACCCTTTCACATTTAATGTTTGCTTTATGTATCTGCAAGGTCCTGGTTGGGCCACACTTGCTTCTGATTGTTGTTTCTTGCTGAATTATTCTTTTCATCAATGCAGTAGTGTTCTTTGATTTTCTTAACAGCTTCTGACTTAAAGTCTACTCTACCTGATATAATTATAGCTGCTAAGATTAAAGTTTTGATTTCCATTTGTATGGTATATATTTCCCTAACCAATGAAGTATTACTAAATGATGAATTTTCATTTTATAACATTAAAAGCATTGAATAGATAGCGAATAGATGTGAGAAAAGTAAACTTTATGTAGGATTATTATGACAAAGGGGTACAAATGGGAACAGAGAGAGTTAGTGAGGTTTGAAGCAGGTCGGAGGAGGAGGGATTTCTAGTCTGGATGGCTCAGAAGGTGGTACCATTATGATGAGAGACATTTTTTGGGAGGGGGAGGAGATGGTGCATGATGGGAGAAGTTTGGTTTTGAGGGTGGAAGATGAGCATCTCCAAGCCAGCTGTAGGATGAGGGTGCAGCAGTGCTCCCGGGAGGATCCAGTTTAGAGACAGCAACCGATGGCTGCAGAGAGGAAGAGCAAGGGAAGGAGGACCGCTCAGCACCTCGTTTGTATGAATGACCACTGAAGACTGGGAAAAAAGAAAATCGACTTCGCTTCCAGTTGCTATCATGCTTTTGACAATATCGGACAAAATGTCCATCTCTTTCAAATAGCAGCTCTCTGAATTTAAGATCATTGGAATACAGCAGCACCTCCCTCAACTCCCAAAAGAAGCTAAAGGGTAAGTCAGAGCAACCGCACTTTCTCAGAATAAGGTGGCAAGTGGTCATTATATATGACGTTCTTAAAACACTAGGTGAAGTTTAAAGATGTTAAAAAGTGAGTTAAGTTTTGCCAAGGAGCAAAGAGAATGTCAGAAAATAGATAATATGGGAGTAATTCTGAGACAGAAGAACCTTGTTAGAAACAGATACATCAATATCCCTTGGCTGGTGGTCCATGAAAACTAGGCGTGAGATTGTCACTTTGACAGAGTGGGCATGTCTGTGAGGGAGTTTCTAGACTGGGTTAACGGAGGTAGGACGGCATACCCCTGAATGTGGACATACCACTCCATGGAGTGGGATTGTGGGCTACATACGAGCAGGAAGCAAACAGAGCACCAGCATCCATCCCTTCCTGCATCGTGACTGCTGGGAGACTGTGAAGAGCAAATCAAACCCCACTACCGTGACTTCTCTCCGTGGTGGACCACAGCATCCATCCCTGGTGGACCGCAGCATCCATCCCTGGTGGACCACAGCAGCCGTCCCTCCTGCATCCTGACTGCAGACTTCTTTCCATGGTGGACCGCAGCATCCATCCCTTACATCGTGCCTGCAGGTACAACGCGTGGTGGACTGCACCCTAAAGCTGAACCACAATCAAGACTTCCTTTCCTAAGTCTCTTTTGTCAGGCACTTGACACTTCAACAAGGAAAGCATCTAATACAACAGTTAATAGAAATGAGTAAATTGAAAATTTATTAAAGACAGAGATAACAACTCAGTATTGTGTATATTAAATATTATCTATAAAAACATCCAGGGCAATACAAAGATATGATTTAGATTTGATACATCTCCCATGTGTTCATATGGTGTACTCTTGATTCCCAGGAAGGTTCTGGAAACATTAGGTAGGAAATGCTTGTAGGAATCAGATGGCGGAGGTTAGCCCTTTGAAGGTTCATCACAAGGTGAACTACTGCCTCCTTTGGTACAGGCTCCTGCTTTCTTGCTCTTCTGATTCATTGCTAGCTCGGAGTCAGCAGAACCAAGGACTTCATCTCAAAGCTCCAAGACCAGAAAACAAATTTTTGTCCTTTAAATTTTCCCCTCAGGTATTTTGGTCACAGGATCTATTTGTGTTCTCTTCTGATGGTAAGGAGAAGAATTTGCCAAAGAAGTCTCAGTAAATGGAATCCAGTGTTGAGACTGAGAGGTAAATGAAGTGAATGAACACACTGATTTGGCTGTTTCCATCTTAACTGGGGCAGTCGTTCAGTCATCTCAGATAAATCTTGGGATGTCTTTCCCTTAGGTCAGGCAAGTCCATGAAATATGAGCTGGCCAGTCATCTGAGACCTTGGGATTTTCAATGCTCAGCCAGCCTGATTCTCCCTTGGGAGTTGTTTTCTTTGCAGAATGTCATCTTGTGCTGTTACTCATAGTAGCCACGAGGCGGCGCTCTGATCCCGTCCTAAATGAGAGGAAAGGCCGACTAACTCCAGTTGTAGAAAATTGACAGCAGTTTGTATTCTATTAATTGGGCTTTGTAAATGAAAATAATTGCTTCAAAACGAGGTAATAGACCAGACCATATGGTTTAACGAAATCTCTGAGCGCATACGGTGTTTGAGAAGGCGTTTGTTTGTGTTCTTTCTTTTCTCATCAGGACAGCTGGGGCCAGGCTACGGGAGGCAATGACACTTGGGAGTGCGTGCCCACCTTTCAGTACAGACACCGCAATTGTAGTAACTAGGATATGATACCTATACTTAGGGAAGGAATTTATGGAAGGCTCGGTAACCTTGATCAGAATAGGTGTTAGTCTAGCCAGCAGTCTCAGATACCTGGGCACGGGCTCCTCTTCGCCGTGACCCTCAGCTGGGGGAGCCACTGCCTTCCTTACAGGCAGGGTCCAGGCAATGTGTCCCGCAGTCTCGCTTCTCATCCTCATGGGAATCCGCCTAGGCGAGCGTCCTTTGTCTATTCCTGTTAACGAGGAAGCAGAGGTTCAGAATGATCCATTTGTGAAGGGCCGGGGATTGGTACTCTGTGTTTCCTGTTGCTAATAAATCTAACAGATCGTCACAGGATACAGGGGCTTGCAATGAGTCATCTTAAATCTTACAGGCCAGAAGTCAAACACTCAAGGGTCTCAGAAGGCTACAGAGAAGGTGCGGAGTAGGGTTGTCATCTTCTGAGACAATATTAACTGGTGTTCCTACAATCTTCAAAGCCACCTCGTTGCACTTATGATCACAGCCAGGAGATGGCGCTCTGCTTCACAGGGATACCCAGACAATCTAGGGTAGTCTCGTCATTTCAAGGCCTTTCCCCTCAACCCATCTACAAAGCCCCTCAGAAAGGATGGGGCCATTTGGGAGTTAAGTTGACACAACTCTCGCTTTGGGAGTCGGTTCATGTATAATCCTGTTCAGTATTTTGAATTGGCATGAGTGTGGGGGGCTCCTTGTCATTAATTAAAGCATGCAACAATCTATATTGAAATATCTCGGAGCGTCTCTAAGCTCGGATTACTAATGAACTAGTGTGTGCCAGGCATCTTATTAGGTAGTAGCCATGCCGTGCTAAAAGGCTGAGCTCTCTTCACTCCAGGCAGTGGGGCGAGGACGCTGCAGAGGCAGGCCGTGTGGGAGAAACCGCATCAGGGAAGGGACAGGGGCGAGAGTTTAAACTCGGTGTTCTGTGATTTCTAAAGCAGCCATGCACTCTGAGTGCCTTTTCCCCTTCTCACTGTGGATTCTGTGGCCAGGAACAGTAAACCCTGTCCAGAGCGAAGAGCATTGCACTAAGTTACCATGACTGTAGGCTGCTATGCTTCTATTCTGCATACAAGGGGCCTGGGTGGCCCTGAAATAACTCTGAACTTGACAGGTATAAAAGTTCATCTTGGTTGTCTCCATGTGTCAGGGTTCACGAGGCTCTGGCTCCCTGAAGCTGCACCTGGTGAGTTCCCTCCTGTCTGCAGGGGCTTTCCACTCCTCCTCTAGAACGCAGAGAATGAAGGTGAGCGTCCGCCTCACTCTCAGCTGCTGAAGCTAAGAAGGCAAGAGCCAGCCTCCTTCCTGGAACCTGCAAAGGAACGGAAGGGATTCTGAAGAAGAAAGTACAGATTGGGGGAGATGTCTTCGTTACAGTTACTACTGATGGAATGGGACACCATGGCCAAAAGCAGCGTGGGGAGGAAAGGGATTATGTTGCTTACGCTTCTGCATCACTGTTCATCACAGAAGACAGTTATGGGGAACCTGGAGGCAGGAGCTGATGCGGAAGCCATGCAGGAGTGCTGCTTGCTGGCTTGCTCAGTCTGCTTCTTGAAGAACCCAGGACTGCCGTCCCAGAAATGTCCCCACCCACAATGGGCTGGACCCACCGCCATCAGTTATTAGGAAAATGCCTTACAGGCGTTATGGAGGCCGTTTCTCAATTGACTGTAGACCTCTCCCATGACTCTGGCCTGAAGCTAACTTAAACTAGCCACTGGAGGAGAGAAGCTTACTAAGGGGCTATGATTTCTGTTTGGTTGGAAGCGCCAGCGCCACCTCAGCTCCCTGGCACCTCTTGTTTGGTTGGGGGCTTCACCTCAGCTCTTGGCATCCATTTTGGAATGTTGGGTGGAAAGTTCTATTTCAAAGTTTCCTCCCTGGATGTTGCCTCAGTCCAAACCCCACCTCTGAGAAAGCCCACCAGATGGTGACCCCTCCACAGGAAGGATCAAGACCACTCCCACAGGCTGTTTAAACTGCTCCCCAGAGAACAAACACGTGGTCTTCCTGGTTTTCCTTCCCCCTCTCCGTGTTTTCCCAGAGGGCCACCTGGGAGCTCTGGCATCCATTAAACCTGGGCTTCTTCTAATTTGGTTTGATTTGGTCTGATTTGGATTATTGCGTTGGCAGAGAGGCTTGTTGGACTGAGAAAACTTAACAGTATTTTTCAAGGGACAACATAAACCTGTCTTGCTTGAGCTCCTGTCAGGACAGATGTCCTGCTTTGCTTCCAGATCCTTGGGTTCCCAGTCCTTCTCTAGCTGAGCCCAGCAACTGTGGGCTAGCATGAGGAGTCAGCACTCGCTCCAGGTCTGTGGGGCCAGGGGGTAGTCTGTAGCCACCTCAGGTGGAGGTTGTTGTCTTGGTTGGTGGCATTAAAATTTAGTCTATGACATAGACATAATGCAGGGATCAGGAATGAGATGGAGAACTCTATTCCTGGCTCTGATGAATGTGTGTTTCCCAGATCACAGCTGAAGGACTCTAGCAGGCAAACACAGGCCCAAGCATAGCAAACGAGGGCCCAAGCGTGCCAAACATGGCACCAATGTTTTCCTTTTACCCATTAGATCATATTTCTAAAGCCAGCCCCCAAGGCCTATTCCCTTAATTGGTCAATGACTCATCCTGAGACTGATCACCAAGGTGCAACTATCAAAACACCGAGGTCAAGCAATCAAAATTTATTATTTTGACTAGACTAATTAAAATACGCAGTCAGAACTCACCATCCCATCCTAGCTCCTTCTAACACAGCTCCCCCCTTTTACTTCATAAACTAACACTTGCAAAGCTGTTTGTTGCTGTTTCTGCCCTATTCAGATTCAGCCACCTTGTCTCTTTGCTTCACTCAAAAAAGGGAGGGGTGGGGAGGAGGACTCAGTTTTCTTTAAGGGACTGGCCACTGGGAGTTTGACCATGCTCCAGTGAGGATGTGGGCAACATTAACTGGACTTGGTATCTTTTTTCTTCTTTTTATTTGAGAGAGGCCATAATGGTGGAAGGTGGACCTGGGTGGCCTGGAAAGTGAATGGGATCAGGGCGCTTTATGTGAAATTTCCAAATAATCAATAAAAACATTAAGTTAAAACAACAACAAAAAAGGATTTCTTTGCGTTTGGTTTGTGCTTGGAAATTTGTGTTTGGGTTTGGGTGTGCCTAACCTGGGGTCCAGAGAGGAGCACTGTGTGGTGCGCTGGTCTGGCTTCCACACAAGCGGCACAGACATAGTTTCTCTGCGGGAGAGATGGACAGAGAAGGAATCTCTGGGCAGGCAGTCAGGCAGCTTTCTTTCCACAAGGTTGCAGCGCCCCCTCAGGCTTCATTGTGAAATGAGCAGCTGGGATGAAGGTCTGGAAGGTTCTCGTGGGGTAAAGATTCCGGGCTAGTCAGCCAGGGGAAGCTGGTCTGAAAACTGCTACCCTGCTGGGAACGTGGGAGAGCTTCCTGAATTCCTGGCATCCACGAATATGGCAGCTTCCGGAAAGGATCTATGTGCTGCGGTAAGTTGGTCCAACTGCTTTCTAAAGTACTTTTGGTTATTAAGTTTCTAGGCTCTATTACTTGTGTGTAGATTATAAAATATTGATTGGCTGGGGCCTAAGAGTTGTGAATACTATTTATTTATTATTGAGTCAGGCACTAAGTATAAAACATAATCTAGACTGGCTGTGAACTTGTGACCCTTCTCCTCCAGACTCCTGAATCTAGTTTACAGGCACGCACCTTACATTTGGCTCCAAATAGTCTATTTCTGTTTTTATTTTATGTGCATTGGTGTTTTGCTTGTATGTATATGTCTGTGTGAGGGTGGCAGATCTCACTGGACCTGGAGTTGCAGACAGTTATGAGGTATGATGTGGTTGCTGGGAATTGAACCCAAGACCTTTGGAAGAGCAGCCAGTGCCCTTAACCACTGAGCCATCTCTCAGCCCTCAAATAGTCCATTTCTAAGTGCTCTTTTCAGGATTGTTCAAATACAAGAAGTATGTATTGAGTCCCTGCAGAGTGTGTCCCGACCTATTACTAGAACAGGTAGCGAGGGTCCTTAGAGTCCACTCTCATAGATAGACATAGAAGAAGGAAGGCAACTCAGTGTGGCAAGTAGGCTGCAAGAGGAACATTATATGATAGTGTTAACTTCCTGGGAACCCTGGGAGGAACGGCACATAACAGATGGAACAAAGAAGGATTAGCGCGAGGACTGCTGGTGGTCACTGACATGCAGAGGAGACAGGAGAAATACTAGTGTCATGAAGGTCTTTCCTCATTGGAGCACATGTCAAAGACACATCCTGCCACGCAGATAGCCAGAAATCTTTGTGGATCAGAGACTGAGCTGCATTGGGCTATGGAGCTGGGGAGTTGACGCACTGGATCAAGTGCTGTGCTTGCTGGACAAGAATGAGACGCTGTGTTAAAACACCTGGAACCCACACGAAGCAGGCCGTGGGAGCGTGCGCCTGTAAGCCCAGCACTCCTCCGGTGAGACAGGAGGCAGGAACAGCAGAATGCTTGGAAGCTGGTTGACCGGTTAGCCTGGCAGATGCAGCTTGAACAACAAAGAGGCTCAAACAAGGTGGACGGTGAGGACAGACAGGAGAGGCTGTCTTCTGACCTTCACAGACGCAGTGTGCCATAGGCACACTTCTATTCATCTGCAGTGAACATAGGGTTCCTGTTATCCTCTATTCCAGAACTCCATGGAAGAAGGAAGGGATCTCAGGATAGAGGGGTGAACGGGAGGGAGTTCTTATTCATAATTCAAGTTCCTTTCTAAAGTTTAGAAAGCAGCTGGTGAAGAGAGGTGTGGAAAAGGGGTTCAAACAATGCCCACTTTTAACCACCTTAAATTAAAACCTGTGCCATATGAGGAATCAGTTTCCAGTGAGCACCCTTTTATCATGTGACCATTTTGCACCTTGGAAATTAAGAAATGCCTCTGTGTACGATGTCTTTGTCTTGACAGCAAAGGAAATCACCACTATTCCCTTGACATAGTTGACACACGAGCCAAAAGGAAAAAAAGGCTTCCAAGAAAAACTTAGAGGAATCTGAAACTTGATCCTGAGTAGGTCAACTTTGACTTTTTGATTTCTTTGTGACCTCTGTAAATCTGATACATTTATGTGGAAAGTTTTATTTTAATTTTCAGTGCTTATAAAAACAATTCTTAAGCATTATATAATGGCACACGAAGGTGGACTGTGTCTAGGCATTATTTCCCTATAGAGAGGAAATGTGGAGAAAATATTGCCTGAAGGTTTTGGGGTAGGGCTACGTTTCAAACATTCGAGAAACAGGAATGGTCCACTATGGCCTGTGAATTTGACAAGTCCTGGGGGATGAGACCAAAAAGGTTAAGCTCCCATTTATTGCCTAGTTGGGTGCTTTAAAAATATTTCATGGCAAAGTCTGGGGCTCCGGCATCTCTAAGCAGGCCCAAGAAGGTGGATCATGGCTGGCTCGACATTGCAGGGAGCTGTCATCTTCTGGGAGCACAGTGTAGCAGGCTCGGGGAAACAGAAATGTCTAATGAGGATAATACCGTAGTCACCTGACACGGAGACCAGCACACTGCTCAGCATGTACAGGACGTCCCTGCTTCCCGGGGTCAATGACGCTGGCTCCTGTGACTATTTTAAGCATACTGCTGGGCACATTGTATACTCTATCCAAGTCCTCCCTTACACATGATCACCAATACTCAGAAAAGTGAATGAACGTGCCTCTTTGATAAGAAGCAGAATCTAAATGTAAGCATAGGTCTGTACAAATTTGAAATAGGTTCTTAACTAGAAGAAATTAGGAGGTAGGGTTAAGCATGGGAGGCTCTAGGGCACTAAGGCCTATTGCAAACTCTGAAACATTTGGCAGACACAGAGCACTTGGGGACGGAAAGTCAAGCATTTGACAAACCTTCTATTTATGTGTTCGTGCGGACAAGAGCAGGCCTCAGGAGAGTAGCTGTCATCCAGTTGAGAAATGAAAGAGTTCCCAGTGTCTTAGTTAGTTTATGACTTTTGGTAGAGATTACAAAGGTCTTGCTTTGTCCCCAAAGTTGTTCACATATTACAAAAACAACCCTCCAGGGCCCTGGCAAATGCGCTGCTATTCTCTTGGAGCAGAGTGTAGACACATTTGAAGAGTGGATGGAGGTCAAAGCACCAATCTACCAGACTGTCCTCCTGGCTTCGCACTAGCTGCCTTGTTCCCTGGTCATCTTTCTGCCATTTGAGATGACTGAGCGCACATGTTGTGACATTTTCTTCCCTATCGGGCTGCACATTCTTTAGTTAATTCAAGTAGACACAAGTTCACATTTCTTTTTTTGTCAGCTCTGCCCAGAAACCCTCTTCTGTTTTAGGCTGGGTGTGATGCACACGCCTGGAATCCTAGCACTCAGGAAGCAGAGGCAGGAGGCTGATCATAGCTTAAGGACAGTCTGGTCTACATATAGAGTTCCAAGATACCTCAGGCTACATAGTTTATGTGTCTGTGTAAGTAAGGTCAACCTCAGGTGAGTTGCGGCCATCCAGCCTACAGACGACAGACAGCTCTCAGGGTCTTAGTTCATGGTTTTCAGTGCACACAACAAAGGCCTTTCTCCGGCTCTAAAGCTATTCACATGTTATAAAACGACCCTCCAAAATCCTAAACAATATTTCCTCAAAAAAAAAAATAAGCAAATAAGTACAAGAGCTAGTGATCGATAGACTAAATAGCTTCACAGTGTTCACATGTTCAGGAGACAGGCCCTTCAGGGCTGCGGTGGTCTTGCTGGGTCTAAAGCACGTGCAGAAGGAAAGTCGGAGCCAGGGTTTTTTTTGTTCCTGTGACTTTGGTATACCATCACCCTGCAAGAACCACCACCCCACTTTTCTTGCTGTGCAGAGAAGCCCAGCAGATGCTTTCAACCTCTGCCAGCGAGGTCCTCTGCTTGAGCCTGCTTCTTGCTCTTCCTTGCACACCACTCCTCCTCTTTGGCCGTGTCACTTCTCCAAAAATGTCAGTGTGGGAGGTTTGTGTGCCGGCAGTGACGTGACAGACGTCCGTACGGAAACGTGGTGTTGCGGTGTTTGAGAACGGTGCACTGTGTATCGGCAGTGACCTGACAGCCGTCCATACGGAAACGTCATGTTGAATGTTTGAGAACAGTGCGTTGTTCGTATTGAGACAAACCACACATATTAAGCATTTGTTTTCAGTTTTCTCATGGAAAGTCTGCTATAAACATCTCTGACAGTTGGATCTTGTCAAGTTATTCCCACCAGCCATACGGGGTTCATGTCCACACACTGCAGTGGAAACACCTTCACAGAACCCCTGACAGCCACCCCACCCCATGGCCATGGCTGTCTTGCACTTCGGACTACTTATGAGCTCAAATGTACTGTGTTTGAATGTCTTTTTCTTACAATTTGTTTTACACACTACATTTTTATTAAAATTAGCAAAGAGGAAACTTTGTGTGGTACTGTGCTATCATTGTATTTCTTTGGAAGGAAAACATGATCTTCTGTGATAATCAGTTACTTGGGGAAAGAAAAGCAAAGGAACTGGGTGAGACACCTGCAGGTGTATTTCCAGGACACTTGTCACCATGGCGTGTGTGGAGTCTTATCTTTCTGACCTTTATTTCCGTTCCTCTACCATATGGACCTCTACTGCCTTCTAGACAGTGCTGCATGTGTGAAGGGCACAGAGGAGAAGTTCCATGAAGTCAGGCGCTTCCTCTTCATTTAGGACAACTGTATCTACCGTCTACTAGAGCATTTCACCTGGATTCCCTCGTCACAGTATGTAGCATGCTCCACTGAGCCAGGATTGTGGGTCTGAGCTGCCACCACCCTCTCAGTCAGTAGCACAGCATGACACCAAAGAGTATCAGGCCTCGGACTGAAATGTTTTTTTAAACATCTCTTGCTTTTGACTTTTAATTTCTCCAATAACCCAGTTTCAGGTTTTATGATGTCAGCCATTCCATAACAACTGAATACGCACTGTGTGACAGATCTTTTTCTAGGTACAAGGTGTAGGGGAAAGAATAGAGGGAAACAGAAAATGTTTCCTGGAGCAAGTGCGGAGGAGGACAGGTGAGACATGATTACAAAGCAGACAGTAAACGTGGAATCTGGGGTGCTGTGAGGAGGATGCTTTAGGTGGATATTAGACTTGAGAAGGAGACCCCAGCAAGGGGATTAGGTCCTTTATTATTTATTTTCCAGGGATGTATCAAGGTGGGGAAGGCACTGGGGTCTGACAGGCTGGGGAGCAGGCAGGCGTCAGGAGATCAGGTGGCAACAGTTGGGTTTCTGTCTTGGTGATAAAGACTGTGACCACAAGCAACATGGAGAAAAAGGGGAAAAAAGGACAGGAAAGCAGATGTTAGGCTGGAGACTAGCTGACGAGTTGGGAAGAAGGGGCCATCAACGGGAGGATAATGGAGGGATGAATATAATAATAAAACGAACTAGTCAAAAAAAACGGCCTCAGGATGCATGGTCGGTGCTTGGGCAAAGCAAGTACTCACTTGAACGTACATGAATCCTACCTTGTGCAAAGCAAGTGCTCACTTGAACATACATGAATCCTACCTTGCCAGAGCCTCAATCTTCAACATCTTGCCTCCAGACCTATGAGAAAATAAATTTGTTGTTTAATCCACCCAGTTTGTGACTTTTACTATAGCAGCCCGAGTTTATAATATTTATAATAGAATATAAATACTCTATTTCATACATACTTTGTGCAGAAAAAGGAGTTTCCTACTTAGGGTTTCTATTGCTGTGAAAAGACATCATGAACAAGACAACTTATAAAAAAAGAGAGCATCTAATTGGGGACTTGCTCACGGTTCAGAGGGTCAGTTCATTACCATCACGGCAGAGAACACATGGCAAGTATGTTGTTGGAAATAGCTGAGAGTACATGTGATCCATAAGCAGAGAGGAGAGAAAGAGTGGGCCTGGCAGGAGCTTTTGAAACCTCAAAGCCCACCCAGTGACACACTTCCTCCAACAAGGCCATGCCCTCTAATCCTTCTATTCATATCAAATGGTTCCACTCCTTGGCAAAGAAGCATTCAAATAGATGAGCCTATGGGGGCCGTTCTTAGCCAAAGCACATTTCAGTCCCTGGCCTTCCTAGGCTTGTAGCTCTATCACAATGCAAAAGAGCATTAGGTCCAACTTCAAACAGTCTCAACACTGTTTAAAAGTCCAAAGTTCAAACTCTCTTCTATAAGAAAGCAGATCACATACTTCCAATATACAATGGTATAGAATAGACATTACAGTTACTTCCAACATACAATGGTATAGAATAGACATTACAGTTACTTCCAACATACAATGGTATAGAATAGACATTACAGTTACTTCCAACATACAATGGTACAGAATAGACATTACAGTTACTTCCAGCATACAATGGTATAGAATAGACATTACAGTTACTTTCAACATACAATGGTATAGAATAGACATTACAGTTACTTCCAGCATACAATGGCATAGAATAGACATTACAGTTTCTTCCAGAATACAAGGGTATAGAATAGACATTACAATTACTTCCAACATACAATGGTATAGAATAGACATTACAATTACTTCCAACATACAATGGTATCGAATAGACATTACTGTTACTTCCAGAATACAATGATATAGAATAGACATTACAGTTACTTTCAACATAAACTGGCACGGGACACACTAAATACTCCATTCTAAAATGGAGGAAAAGCAGCACAGTGAGGAAATTCTGGCCCCATGTAAGAACTAAATCCAGCAGTGCAAACTCCAAACTCTGCATCTCCTGTCTGATGTCAAAGTGCTCTCCTGATCGATCCCCAACTCCTTTCGGCTTTGTTGACTGGAACAGACTTATTTCTCTTGGGCTGGTTCCAAATGCAGTCTGCAGCTTTCCTTGGCAAGTATTCTACAACTCTGGCATCTCCAGCATCTTAGCATCTGCAACACACTCTAGGCTTTACCCTCAAGATTCATGCCATGGCCTCTCTGGACGCTTCATGTAGACACGCACCTGGCACACTCCTAGCTTCAGTGGCATTAGCTGGGGAGATTCCACTCCTGCCTCTCATATTCTTTACTGTAAAGCCAGACTCACGTGGCCAAAACTAAGCTGTCAAGCTGTGTTGCTTGCTGAGACTGGAACATTTACGTCAGCTCTCTGTTGTTGATGGTTTCTGCATGGCTTAAGCTTTTCTTTAATTCCTTGTCACAAGCGGGAAGCTTAGCTGGGTGGGGGCTTGCTCTGAGGTCACCACCCCCTTTATTCCATTTATTATCAACTTTTATTTCACGTGTTTATCTCCTTGAGCACTGCACTTAGCTCAATTACACTTCTGCTGCTGCTTTTCTCCTCAGACCACACATTTTGTATTTCTCTTTGTCTATCTTGTTCCTTTTCATTATAGATTTGCATAAGAGTGATTACTAATAACTACAGAACTAAGTCAATACCAGGTTGTCTTGAAATCTCTATGACAAGATTGATCAGTCTTCTTCCCCTCTGGAACCCCTTCAGCTGGGACTTCACAGCTGAGATCCCCTTAGCACTGTTCTCTGTGCTCCTACTAGGATGGCCACTTAAGTGTCCAGCTGCTTTTCTAGTCCAAAGTCTCCAAACCATCCATATTCCTCAACAAAAAAGATGGGCAGGCCTGTCACAGTAATACCCCAGTCCCTGGTACCAACTATGTCTTAGGTACTGTTGTAAAGAGACACCATGACCAAGGCAAATGTAACTCAGGACTTCCTTACCGTTTCAGAGGTTTAGTTCATGGCAGGGAGCACAGTGGCATACAGACAGGCATGGAGGAGTTGAAAGTTTCATCTTGGTTTGGAGAGAGAGAGAGAGAGAAGAGAGAGAGAGAGAGAGAGAGAGAGAGAGAGAGAGAGAGAGAGAGAAGAGAAGAGAAGAGAAGAGAAGAGAAGAGAGGAGGAGGAGAGAAAGACTGGGCTTGGCATGGACCTTTGAACTCAAGGCCTACCCACAGTGACACACTTCTTCCAACAAGGTCACACCTCCTAATCTGGCTCAAATAGTGCCACTACCTAGTGACTAAGCAAATGTATGAGCCTATGGGGGCCATTCTCATTTAAACTACTATAAGGAGTCTCATATTCTTTATGCCTAATAAATGTTCTCTTATTTTCAAAAAAACAAATTTTATCCATCTTATTCTGTTAACAAAATATGCAGTACCATTTGTTGCTAAAATTCCTCTGGAGGTCCTCCTAACAGAGGCAAGATTCCACCCAAGTTCATTCCAGGGAAGCCCTGAATTTACAGAACTTCCTTACAGAGCCTAGGTAGTGGGGTTACTTAGAGTAACGCGGGCACTTCTCAAACCTAACCAGCAGCAGGTGAAAAGACTTACTCGGCAGGGATGAGTGCTTCTCCAGAGGCCATAAAGATAGAGGCCAGTTCAAGACCTGGCTGGGTCTCTATACACTCTAGGCCCCTCCCACTGGCCATGTGCAGAGTTGCCTGATGGTGGTGAGTATCTGGGTATTCAAGTGAGAAACTCACGCCTCACTCTACCTCTCCATGCAGGGGTGAACTGCTGACCAGCCCCGTTGGTATCTTTTGCAAAGGAATGGGGGAAACACAACTGTGCTTCCCAAGATGACAGTTGCTTGGCTTGGAGGACAATCACTTTCAACCTTATAGACAGAAAAGTCTTTTTTGAACAGATTTTTTCCCCATTTATAATATGTATTCCAAATTTCAGGCAGATTTTCTCAGTATAATAAAACCCTCAATTTGTAGTGGTTTAACAAATAGCCCCCCCTTCTGTTCCTTCCCACCCCCCACTCCTCAGAGGGTAAGGCTTCCCATGGAGGGTCAACAGGGCCTCTGAGTGGTTGATTACCTTCTTACAGGAACACATTCCCAAAGTCAACCAGTTGCTTCTGATTCAGAGCATATGTGTATTGTGACAAAGACTTAATTTTATTATTTTGGTAAAAAGTATTTTCCTTGTAAGACCAAAGGTTAACAAGAGTCACTGCATGTATATGAGCAGAACTTTAAACAACTACACCTCAATATGCATCTTACGACACTGATACCATTTTAGATTATAAAGGAGAAATGAGAATGTTATTCTTTTCTCCAGGAGGGTCTTTCAGATTTTAGAAAGCATATGTAGTCCAATGCCAATTGGAATTTTGAGATGTTACTGTGATTACAATACACATTAAGAATAATATGCAAACAATGAAAATAGAAAACATACATTATCAAGATGAAAAAAGGCATTTCCACAACTGTACACAGAGCTGACCCAACATTTCACAAGGCTGGCTCACAGACCCTAGAAGACCTCTGTAATAGCAGTAAAGGCATACAACATTCTTCCAGCTAATTCCACTTACTAAAGAAACTCACCAGCTGAATTTGGCACAAAGGAGTTTAATTATCATAAAGTGCATCAGTTGGCTAAATACATTATAAATGAAATCAGCCATTATATAGCATAACATCTTCATACACAGAGAAATACAAATGGAACACCAGGAGTCAAGCTACTTGGGAAGTTTGCAGTATATATGGTTATTTATTTTAATTTCTTTTTCTGAAACTCACTTGCCTCAAAACTGTAATCTATTTTGAAAAGAATATGTCTTGATTAGCACAAAGAGGTAGTGTTCTGAATGAGGCAAACTCCACTGGACCAGTGGGTAGAGAATTGAGTTGGATTATGCAGAAAATATCCAAGTATAAGATATTAATAAATCAGGACACTTACAGTAAGTATCTTGACATTAATTAATCATCATTTAAATCAAGGCTATTTTATCATTTTGCCTATCTAATTACAGATCTTCAAGACACATTATCTTTGGCTTTAGAAAGTCATCTTTTTTTTTAAATAGTATTAACATTTCAAACAAGCAATTTTTATTTAGAGATGATAGACAAAGCAACATTTCAAACTGATTCATCTTTATCTTCCCTATGGTGTCCACTGATTTAAACCTATATCATGTCCAAGATAGAAACATCACCCAGATTCTAACATGCAATTAGTTTTCACCTACTATAACTGGTGATTTAAGACAAGTACACATATCACACACACACACACACACACACACACACACACACACACACACAGAGTAGAGTTTGGAGCAATATACAGGCAAGACACTGTAATAATTTATGTAAAGTATTTAAGAATATGGGCCCTGATAACAATTCTAAAGGGTTTTTTTTTTCAGTGTAGTAAATACAATGTTGGAAAAGACAGTTAAAAGCAGCAATGAATATAGTTCTTACTCCAATAACTTACAAGCAGACTGTATGTAAACTTCATACAGTGCACCCTGCTCTCTGCTGAGGAGAGCCCTCACGCGCTAGTCGCCCTCCACCCTGGGCGCCAGCTGTGCGGCCTCTATGGCTGCCATCGCACCTCTGCCTTCTCGAGGGTTGAAGTGTGGCTTATTGTTAGCTCTGGAAAGGAAGAGGATCATGTTAGTGAAGTGGACAAGGGAAGACACATGCGTTCACTTTATTGCTATCTTCTCACAGAAAGTCGTTACATATTTAACCAGAAATTACTTGTGTGTCTATGTGTACATGTATTTGCAAGTTTATGCTGATCACAGTGAACTTTCGGTGTCATTCCTTAGATGCTATCCACTTAAAAGTTACATTCATTCATTTAGAGAGTGTCTGCGCGTGTGCTGATGTACGTGTGAGGGCAGAGGAAAACTTAAGGGAGTTGGTTCTCTCCTTCCACTGAGGTGAGACTAAGGAACTGGATGCCAGCTGTCCGGCTTGGCAGCAAACACTTTTACTCAATAAGCCACCTCACTGGCCTCTACCTGATTTCCCAAGAAAAGTCTCACAGTCGCCTGCAATTTGCCAATTAGGAAAGACTGGAGGGCCAGCCAACTCACTTCTTAGGAAGAAACCAGGGTACTTTAATATCTTTCTTTCTTTTCTTTTTTTCTCCATGAGCAGATTCATGATCTAGTAACACAAAGTTCATGAAGAATACTCTTTGGACTGAAATGTTCAGGCTGTAGTAAACTAAATATTATTGTGCTTGATACTTTTATGTCAACTTAACACAATCTAAAGGCTTCTGAAATCTCAATTAAGAAAATGTCTCCATCAGATTGGGCTATAGGAAAGCCTGCGGGGCATTTTCTTAGTTAATGATCATAGTGAAGTGCCCAGTCCACAGAGGGTAGTGTCCACCTCTGGGCAGTCCTGGGTTCTATAAGAAAGCAGGCTGAGCAAACCAGAAGTAAGCCAAGAAGCAGTTTCTCTCCATCAGCTCCTGCCTCCAGGTTCCTGCCATGTTTGAGTCTTGACTCCCTTTAATGATGAACAGGTAAGCCAAATAAACTCTTTTCTGCCCAAGTAGCTTTTGGTCTTGGTGTTTCACCACAGCCACAGAACCCCTATGACAATTACATACCTAGAGTCTTCATCCAAGGCATCCCGATTGACTTGAAGTACAGAGGACTCCACCCTTAGGATCTGTCCACCTTCTGCTCTTGACAAATACAGTGATGCTTCAGGTTCTAAGGACAATGTTCTAGAAGTACATCACAACATAAAGTTATTTCTTCTGAAGAAGACATGTGTGCCTTCGCTGTCATGAAAACATGCAGCTTTCTTAGCCTCCAGCCACTAAGTTTGCACAGTCAAGCTAGTAAATTGCTAAATGAGGACTCAACAGTGAACTCAGCAGCTGTATTACCTGAGTCTTTCCCACATGCATTAGTATATACCAGTGGGGAGGCAAACCCCAGCTTTTGCAGTTAGAAGATAGTACGTCATGTTACATCGATAACACGAAAGCACTTCACTTTCTCAACAGTCAGAGTTCTATCTCCTGAGGTGTCTCATCCTGAAATGTTCAGTCTCCTACATCCAATCGGTTTACAAGGAAGTAGGCCAAGAGCCCAGGGCATTGAGAATCAGAAACTTCTGAAGTCGCATTCAACTCTGAAGGCCACTGAGACTAGAATGTGAGGAGTAAGCCTTGCCGGACTGGAGGGAATGTGCCATGACCCACCTCATTCTGCTCTCTAATGTGTCTATGTGAAGTTGCTTCTCCCCGAGCAGTTTCTTCAGGGATTCCACCTCCTTTTGCTTTTCCAGTAGTTCTCTCTGTAAATGGTAGTTAGTCTCTTCTAAAGTCTCACAGAATGCCTTTACAAAGAACATGCAGGCAAAGAAAAATTATGTACTGAAGCAGTACCCTTTTCTAAAACATTGCTAAAGAGTCAGGAACACAGATATCAAAGAAATACATGTAAAAACTCAAGCAATTTGTTCTTCATGCTTATCTTTTTAGATTACTGCTATTTTGTAATTCCCATGCACAGGGTACTTGTAAATTCTCTTTCTTGAGAATAACCACAGTAGCTAGCACTGAAAGTGGACGTATACTTACAGATAAAGTAATAGAATATCATGTAAGAAAATGAAGAATAGTATTGCATGGCTTTATTTTTAAAATCATAAAAGCTGTTGATTTCTATAAAAAATACAAAACTGCTTTTCCCAAGTATAGATAATCTGAATAAACTATAGTCATTCATTAAAAACAATAGAATCGGTTATTATATCTGATAAACTAAAGGAATTATCAATCAAATTAGTCTTTCAGACAAGTTCTGAGAGGACTCAAGTAACAAAAGCTATTAACAGTATTTTCACGTAGCTCTGAAGAACAGAGAAAGGAATGATTCCTGACCTTAGGAAACTGAAATAATCCTAACACCAGATTCAACAAGAGGTAGAAAGGATAACAATACACTCAGGAATTTGATACAAAATCATTATCATCTAAATTCAGCAATTAAAAATAAAATTTTCAGTCGGGTGGTGGTGCACATCTTTAATCCCAGCACTCAGGTTGCAGAGGCAAGTGGATCTTTGTGAGTTCAAGATCTGCCTGAGCTACAGAGAGAGTTCCAGAATAGGTTCCAAAGCTACACAGAGAAACCCTGCCTTGAATGCTCCCCTCCACCCCGCCATAAAATTTTCTCTTGCAAATAATTCTTTATTATTTGAAAATCTATGAATATAATTTGTGTTGATTAAAGACCACTCACAAAGTTATCCTTACATTTGTAAATAAAACCATCAATAGGACAAAGATATACACACCCTACAACCTAGCAAACTAGGACTAACTTCCTAACCTACAAAGAGTAACAAGTGAATAAACCACAGCTATCAACAGCTTACAGAAAACATTTCATGATGCCACAGTTTCTTTAAGGTTAGGAAGAAGTGTAAAGTATGCCTGCTATGACGGTTTCAATTTATCTCTAAGGATATATTAGCAAGCACAATAATATAGGAAAATGCCATGCACAACATTAAAGACCAGTAGGGAAAACTGTGGCTATCGGTATTGTAAGGATACAATTAGATATGCAGACAATTCAAAAGGCTCTACAAAAATACAGTAGGGATGTGAAATAAACACACAAAATCCAACAATTCAATAACAAAAATTTAGATTATAAAACAGCAACTATTAACAGAATTATTGAAATTTAATGATGTCTTGAAAGTTAAAGGAGAAAAGTAATGAAACCTTTATTGAAAAATATTCCCAAGTAAAATGCAATAGTATTTTCAAGGAACTCATGAGCTGATTATCAAATTCACATGGAAGAATAAATAGACAACTTTGAAAACAAACAAACAAACATGGGCGAGAACCTTTGCTCTGCGGACTCTAAGGCGACTAAAATTGCCTGTACAGAACTGGCAGGAGGAGACGGCTAACTGAAGCTGGACTGACTGGCTTCGAACAGGCCAGATGAATGACTCATGAGACAGGAAGACTTGACTAGTGACGGAGGTGAACACTTTATAAGCGGTAATGGGATGAGTGCTCACCCATACAGAAAAGCAAGTTTTACTATCAGAACATAATTTAAAGATTACATCTGCGTACTGGAGGGTAGTTAAATAAAAAGCACAGGAAATATGATGAAGTACGGTAATGGGTCAACTGACAGACAAGGTGAGGAAGCTGAGGAGTAACACACTGTCAGACACTCCACCCTACAAACAAGGAGCACTATCTTAGGGAAGATGTCCTTAGAGACTAGGCTTGCAGAATCATCACTAGAAAAGTATGCTGATGGAACTATTAACTATTAATGAGACCTCAAAATGCTTTGTGCTATTAGTAAACAGTAAACCCAAACTGCCTTGGATGACTTGTAACATTAAGCGATGATGGATGTGAGGTATGCAATCTTCTGTGACTGGCAAATACTCATTTTCAAATACAGTCTTAAGACACTACATTCATTTTACAGAAAAATTCTAGGAGCTACAGTCTACATTGCCTTGTTGAATGCACAGGCTTAATATAGCTTTGGTGATTTATTCCACTAGTTTTTCCAACCAAATTGGCAATGAGTTCATCAGCTCTCCTTGTCAAAGAATCAGCCAGTCCCTATGCAATAGTTTGGAGTTTCAAAAATCTTAACTCAAACCAACTCCATTCTTTCTCAATTCAGTCAGTGCATATTTTGAATTAAAATATTTAAAAGATATTTTTGTAAAAAGGAAAAATGTAAAACTTAAACACATTTAAGAACTGTGTTGGAGGAAGGCGGAACTCTGTCTGAAAGGACAGAGATCACGAGTTCTCTTCAGGAAAAGTAGCAACGCCAGCTGTCTGTAGTCTAACGTGTCTACCTAAAATGGAACTTTAACTTTCAACACATTCTAGGTCAAAATAACAAACCGAGCCCAAATCCATTGACTACATATGCTGCAGAGACTAATACCACAGTTGTTAAATGAGGACACCATAACAGTCTAGAGAGCAGAAACCAGATCAAGACTGCTAAGCGTCTCTCCTGAAGTATCTAGTATTTAATAAAACAATTGGAAACAGACAGACAAAAACCAAAAAACCCAAGCACTCTCGGGAAAAACAACAGTTAATAGAAACTATCTCTAAATGACCTCAAATAATGGTATACAAAATAAATGATTTCTGAAGCAGCTTATGCATTAGATGCACTAAAGCCAGAAAAAAATTAAAGGTGTATTTATTTCTCACTAAATAGTGAATCTTAATAAGAAAGAATGACAAATAGAAGCAAATTAAAATTTTGGAATTAAAAAAATACAAGGGCTAAAATTAAAAAAAAATCAGTAAGAAATACTCAATGGCAGACCTGACAAGATAGAACTGTGGATCCCTGAATTCAAAGACAAATCAATAGAAATAATCCAATCTTGAAAACAAAGAAAAAAATGACTTGAGTAAAATAATTGAGAAAAATCAACAACACTTCGGAGTTCTGCAACAAAATGAAAATTACAGGGAGACACAGGGAGAAGGGAGTATGGGACTGAAAACAACTACTTAGGAAACCTCCACAGCTGAGGTGCCGCAATAGCCTCCAGTCCTGGGAAGCTCAGTGAAGGGGAGAGATAAACACAGGCCTTCTGGGGATTCATCACAATCAAGTTATTAAAGTCAGAGACAGAGCAAAGTATCCAGCACATAACGGGAATGACAATAAAACTAAAGGCTCACTTTTCATTCAGACCAGACAGAGAAGGTGATGAAATGACAACCAAGGGGCCGGAAGAAAAGCAACCTGGGGACAAAGGAAGTATCCACTGTCAAATGTGTGTGAGGGAATGGAGAAACAGAAGCTCTCCCAACTACCAGCGGAAACTCCTCAGGTGAAACAGTCCATTTGCTTAGAAAAGTTTCTTTAAAGTTAGATGTTAGGATGCAACAAGAAAACAACATCTCTCCCAGCAAACCACTGAAGAGAAAGAAAAGCATGCTTGTACCAGTGTGTACAAGAAGCTGTCCATAGTGTGACTTACAATGGTACGAAACTGCACACACTGTAAGTACCAGTCAGCTGGTGATGGGGGAAACGTAAGTTGGTGCACACATTATAAAATGATAGAAGCATAAAAACTGATGATAGAAGCTATAAAATGGAATACCCTGCAAACATGCTAAGTGAAAGAAGGTAGAAAAGATTAAAATATGTAAACTCTATTATGCACATCATATACACAAAAGATTATGTATACTGCATGTGGATTACAGATATAGACATGCCCACATTATTGCACGAACCTATATATATATAAAACAAACAGAAGCAGCAAATTTATAGGGAATGAAGCAGATTACGGATTGCTTGGGCTGAGGTGCAGCCTAAAATGTTTGAGGTAATGTGACTCCTCTAAAACTGGATTATGGCGATGGTACTGCAGCTGGACGGATACTAAAAACTACTAGGCTGGATATTTAACAACAAAATGACAAAACAACAAATGAGCGAAGCTTTTGAAGTTTTCCTTTAATAAAGCTGTTTAAACAGCTACACGCTTACTCCAACACAAAGAAATGCTGCAGTTTAGCTGAACAAACTCCAAGCCTACCAACTCAATCTGTTTCATTTAAATGCCCTTAAACATTTGGGGGTAAACTTGCATAAAATTCCAGCTAATCTATTATAGCCAAATCTGTTTTGTGAATCTAGCCTACTGCTTCAAGAAATGGGCCACTTTAATGTGTCAATTATTGCAATTTGAGTCCCATCAAACATGAGCTGAATTGCTAACAAGACAACCCCGTCTACTGTTGAAGAGCAGCTCAAGGCGGGTCTAACAGCAGGTTCCTCACTTGGGGCCTCAGGAAAGGAATGACCATCATAAAATCACAAGCCACGTCAAGCAAATTCCTGTAGCATTTCATTAATCTTTTTGTAGTAAAAATCTAGCAGAAAGGATTTAATTTTAGATTTTTATTATTACATGCCACATACGAAGTTTTATCTTTTCACTAAACTAGGACCATGTATTTCCATGAAAGTAACCTTTGACTAAACATTAAAAGCTGTCTGTATAAAAACCACTATAGTTTGAAATGATATTTGCTGTTTGCTAATCCATCCAAGGAACACTGCAGTAACTGCACTGTATCATTTATTCCTCTTTCATGTGACATACAATACAGCACTTACCCTGCTTTCTTCTAGGCTATCAAATGGACCTGGTGGATCATCCAGACAAAGAAATTCTCTCACTGCAAGGCTTTTCAAAGGTAAAAAAATTAGCTGGCACACAATTAAGTTTACAAAAGACAGCAGAAAGCAAAGTCACATTGAAGCTATACAGCGAGGCAGGCAATTTGTAGACAATATATAAAAATGCGATTCATGTATGTGTCTTCACGTAAGCAGCTACATGCAAATACCAAACTACGAAAGATACAAAGGCATTATGTCAGTCATAGGATCTACAAATGCAAATAAGAACCACAAGTTTCCTGTTACACAATACACACAATTCAGAATAACGTAGAGGGCAGAGACCCTCACTCTGACTTTCATAAGCATCAGTAGAGCACTGAGCGGCTGTCATCTTGCTATGAAGGAAAGCAATTCTTACTCATACTCTTCTCCACTGAGTGCTTTAAAGTCTGAAATACTGTAAAGACTGCCTTCGGTATGTTTATTATTTATGAACATATTTCCCCAGATATTAAGAGAAAGAATCCTTAATTACTAAATGTTTTATATAATGAAGTATATTACTTTCTATCAGCAGAGGTTTAAGAAGGTGGATCATCACAACAAAATGCTCTCCTCTTTCTAACAGCAAAGCTGGGCCTGTGAGCTAACTTGGCACATACATGCAGCTCAGTTTTTTTTTTCTTAATGGAAAGAAACATGACTAACTGACACCCTACATAAAGGAGATGCTGCCTTGCATTGAAGAGAATGGGACTTGGGGTCACTTTAGTCCCGAGAGGTTTACAATGACAAAGTTGTGTCACTATAATCATGAAGAGGTAAGTTGGATATTAAGTGAGAGTTCTTTAAAAAGAAAAACAGGAATATAAAAAAGCAGTATTAATAACATGAAGTCCGAAAACAGAGAGAAGGAGCCAATGGCAAGCAAATTCTGGACTGTTAAAGCTTTATAATCCAGGAAAAAGAACACACGTCCAGGGAGGCTGAGAAAAGACAAATGTCCACGAGCATGGAAGACCGACAGTGATGTAGAACCACCTGCTACACTTTTGTCCCCTTTCAGGCTTCAGGCGACAACAAGTGATGGTCTACGTGTGTGTGTGTGTGTGTGTGTGTGTGTGTGTGTTTACAGAAACCACCCTGTGGGAAACCAGTTATTTCCTTTATTTGTCTACCCCAGGCTTCTACTTCTGAGTCTTCACTCATCCTTTGACCATTCAGGGTAACCCCAAGTCCTTTACTAGACACCAAGCATTAAGGATCGTCCTCCGTTTCCTGAATGCTTCCTCTCCTAGGAGCAGCACCGATGCGCTAACACTGACTGCACCACACCGCTTCAGATGCACAGCAGCCCTGCTGGGCAGGACATCGTCCCATCTCAGGAAGGCTGTCAGAGTCTAGGCAGAAAAATGACCTTCCAGTGTCACCAAGTACAAGTGGTAGAGATGGACCTTAAATCTGTGTCCCTTTCTACCTGAAAATTATTTTGTCTTATGCCTTGGTTAAGCCAAATACTTCTTTGTAGGACACTTCTCTCTGAATACAATCAATTTGATGTATGATTATCAAGTTCTGGCGCTTAGAATCCTGCTACTGGCTTAAGAGCACAGAGTAGAGCAGGACTGGTGGTCTCTGGTGTAGGAGCTACAGCTCCTCCCACCCAGACACTCTCTATGAAACACCTACAGTCAGACACAGGAACAAACAGGACAGTCTGGATGAAACAGAGAAAAAGAAAATCTGAAAATCAGGAAATGAAAAGCAAGGGAAGACTTGACCCCCGTCCCATGGCAGACTATCTGTTAGTATGTGTGGGGAAATCAGTTTAAAACTCAAGAGAAGGAAGTTTGTCGCATGCAGGTCAGCCCTGTCTTTACATCCAGGAAAATCTGTGCTCTAACTTGATTCTTTCTTTTACTCTTTTAAGCACGTGTTCTCTAAGTGTCCAATTGTACTTTAAACTATGTTCCCAATAAACTACCCCATTATTAAGCTTTCATCTGATAGTTACTATTTCTTGTCGCTTATTTCCTTGCATAGATAATTTATTTCCTTAGACTTCACCAGTTTTTGAAAGATTAGTAGTTTAGTAGCTAAATAGGCTTTTTTTACAATTCATTTTGCATTCTAAAAGAAAAAACCCCATAAAACTAAGGCCTAAACTCATTTAAAGATTCATTCTTTAAATTCTAAACTCATTAAAGAATCAATTAAAGAGTCAGTGGCACAAGCCTGTGTTTGGGACGTTGTGGTAGGAAGATTATAAGCTACAGGCCAGTCTGGCTTATATAGCAGGACCTTGCCTCCCCCCCCCGCCCCCGCCCCGTCTCTCTGTCTGTCTCTCTCTCTCTTTTTTTTAGATTTATTTATTTATTATGTACACAGTATTGAGCCTCCACACCTGCAGGCCAGAAGAGGGCACCAGATCTCATTATAGGTGGTTGTGAGCCACCATGTGGTTGCTGGGAATTGAACTCAGGACCTCTGGAAGAACAGTCAGTGCTTTTAACCTCTGAGCCATCTCTCCAGCCCCCAGGACCTTGCATCTTAAAAAAAAAATTAAAAGAAAGTATACTAAAAATAGAAATACCAAATTTGACACAAAAGCCATTACATAAAAATTTTAAGAGGTGACACGTTTAACTAATTATTCTTTATCAATAAAAATTTGGGCGTCAGATATCGGGGTAAGAACCTGAATGATCAGAGAAGCTGCGGAGAAGCCACCAACGACATCCTTCCTCTTCTGTTCCCTCCTACAAAAGGGCTGAGATTCTGTCTAAGCCCTGCTTTACTACTTCCTCAGTCCTCCAAAACCTCTGTGGTTAAATCTGGACAGCTAGTGGCTCCACTCTCTCATTCAAAATAAACTTTATTGTTAGAACTCAATCAAAGTATCATACAATAATGAGGGATTTCAGATGAAAAGATACACACCAAGCTATTGAATACACACCTTAAAGATGAAGACTGAGGAATCAAGGCTGGAGAGACAATCACAGTGGAGAACAGTGGGTGGTTGTGAGGCTTCTCAAGTAGTGGGGAAGGGTGGGAAGGGGGCTTAGATTCTGACCACTTTCCCCAGGATACTTTCCCCACTAGAGCCTCTACTAATCAGGTGGTCCTTTATGACCCGCGCTAGCGTGAATCCTCTTCCACGACTGCAGCAGCCTACATCCTGACCTGGAGCTGTGCCCTGGCTCAGCACGCCCACCCTGACCTGCCTCCTGGGCTTCACGGTTCAGCTTGTCTAGCACTATCCACATAGCTTCTCATTACCCACCTCTCCGCCCTCCGACAGGACTGCTGTTAGGGTCTAAAAGCTCCTTTCCACAGGACTTCTTATGGTTTAACTGGTAGATTTAAGAGTTTAAAAGGAGAAGACACTGGAAAGAGGATATGGCATACTTGGGAGAACAGGGAAACACTGTTATGGTGCATAATGGTAAGCTGATGCCAGTGTGGGAGCCGTGTTTAAACTCTGAGACTGTGCAAATAACTGTACTTCACTCCGACAAACCAAATACCATGCTGTTCCCAACATATGACCCTAGGCTTTACTGCTGCAGTTTGATTAGAAAATTTTCTTTCATCTGGCAAATCCTTCTTCACTCTCTCAAACATGGTACAAATATCATTAATTCTTTAGAGACTAGCCCAAATGTCATCCAGTCATAAGTTCTGACATTTCCTCAGCTAAAAGATATACTTCTTTCCACTCTTCACTTCTGAGGGCACGTTTCCTCACTTAGATTTAATACAGGACCAACATCTACTTCATCTTTGTGAAGCCATACTTTCACACAATATGCTCTAAATAAAAATTTCTTGAATGGGTAAAAATTCTAATACATCCCACTATCATGGAAATAGTGTTCTGTAACTAGACCTGGAAACTATTCTCAGCACTTTAAACTAGGATTTTTAATTTCCTTTCCTGTTTCCTCCGCTCTCGCCCGCCACAGCTGGAGCGGATCTAAAGCACTAGGCGCTGCCAGCTGTGCAGTGACAGCTGCGTGGTAAGGCGCTCCGGCTCCGGAAAGTTCAGTGCACATGATCACCCGAAGGGAGAGTGGAGACTGAAGGAACACTGGGACAACTCTTTATATATAATAATACACACTTATGCCTAACTTTTTGATATTTTGCTGTGTAGGGGAGCTTCCTGTGTGTCTGCCTGCACTACATACACACTGTGCTCTCGGAGAAGAGCAGAGCCGCGAGACCCTCTGGGAGCTGGAGTTACACACGGTTATTAGCTGTTGTGTGGGCACTGGAATGTGGAACTCTTCCAAAGAACAAGTCAGCCCCGTTAACCCCTGAGCCAACGCTCCAGCATCCCAGACAGACAGACAGACAGACAGACAGTGTAGGCCCTTGTGTAGGCCAGGATGGTCTGGAAACTGAGATCCTCCTGCCTCATTTCCTGTGTGCTTGAGTATATGGTACACCACCATACATTTCTTTGTAAATGTATAAATTTTTTCTGTTCTTTTATCCCTTGGGAGGAAATTTCTGTTCTCTTTTCAGCATAGAAAAAGGGAAAGATTCTTCTCTCCTATACTTTTAAGTACAATGAAGACTTTGAACAGTGAATTTTTCTTCCCTCTGCTACGCAACTTGACACGGAAGAGACCATGGAGTCCTTTCCTGTACATGGAGCACAACAGGAACATTGTCCCTGAAGACAGAATTGCTGCAAGGAATTCAGCCTCGGACAGGCTGAGAAGCAGGCATTATGTTTACAGAGGAACCAGTCCTGGAAGGTGGAGAGACGATGCAAACACAAAGCAGGCAGCTACCATGTCAGTTTTAAGAAGCTGACCTTGAATTTGAAAATAGATCTTTGGCAGCCTCAGGCTTACTATACATCTTTGAATTCTTTCTTTTTGATTTATACATTTTTTTCCAACCCCTAAACTCAACCTTACCTTTCAGACATACAAATCCTATTTCCAGTACTGCTCTCCCCTCCCTTCTAGTGTTGTTCCTCCCTCCCTTCCAGTGCTGCTCCTCCCTCCCTTCCAG